CACAGGTTTGCATTGTAAGAGAGACTACATTTCTTTTTCATTTTCAGCAGCTGTGGTTTGATTTCTTGGGGTTAGGTGTTAAAAAACATCAGACCCTAAACAGGATCAACAAGGCTCCAGACAGGTAATGTTTCCCATGAAGCTATGTGAATTTATCCCACACGACCAGGGAGAAAACTTAAATTACATAGAAGCAACAATATTTCTCTACACCTAACCACATTCAAGTAAGTACAAATTTCTGAGTATACATTTAGAAAGCATTTATAGTGAAATATAATAATTAGATAGAATATCAAATTGTATCCTTAAAAGACTCTATGACCAGTCTATGTGTCTGTCACTTAAAACAATACAACCGACAGTCAGAAAATAATATTCTGGTGGTGCCTGCTGGGTGTACAGCTGATGAAGATGCAGGACATTGTGTCTTCTCTTACTTCCTATTGCATTAACTTCTAAAGTAGATTCATAAGAGCTTTCAAAATCTTCTGAAAGATAAAGGTAAACTGCCAACGCATTTGAATAAAACATCTCCAACATTAGAAGCTGCTTAACTTAGAATACCAGAGCCCCTGTGCTTCCTTTTAAGACATAGAAGTTTTGCCATGAAATGTTCATTTCTTTACTAATTCCTCCTTGAAAACTACTCCATAATCTGTGGGCAACAAAAACCTACTGCACACAAAACGTAACCTGAAATTACTTTTTCAAGACTGAAGACTACCTTGAGCTTCCAGTTCCTTCAGTTTAAAGCATAATCACTGTATCCCTCTTTGATACACACACACATACAACTTCAGAAGGTTACAGTTATGGCATCTTTGCCCTGCTGAAAAATTACCTGCGAATTTTAAAGATCAGATGGTATTTATCTTTTTTTTTCTTTAGAGATTATTAATTTCTTTGGGTAAAAGTAACACAATTTAGGCATAAAATAGGTAATTTTTGGTATTACTACTGACAACACTTAAAATGTCTTAATAAGCTCTGGTAGTACAACAGTTTAAGTGTTCAACTGCTAACAGAAAAGTTGGTGATTTGAAGCAACCCATTCGCCATCTGTTCCTGGTAAAAGTACACAGCTTAGTAAAAGCTATAGGGCTGTCATACTCAATGTTATCAATGTGAGTTTGAGTCAATCAGATGCACATCACAACATCAGACTCTTTCACTTGCATGAAAATTCTAAAATTTGTTTGTTGTTGTTTTTAAGGGAGTAGAGGCTACCATAAAGTGGTTAGAATTATTAGTAATCATGGTCAGATAATGTCTTACTTTCTGTCATTTCTACTTTTCCTAGTTTCACACCCCCTCTTTCCAGAAGAAAATGACCATGAAAAATGAATCCACAGTAAATGAGTTTGTCCTCGAGGGATTGACAGACAAACCAGAACTCCAGCTGCCCCTCTTCCTGCTGTTCCAAGGAATTTATGGAGTCACTGTAGTGGGAAACATGGGAATGATCCTCCTCATCACTTTCAATTCCAAACTTCAATCTCCCATGTACTTTTTTCTCAGTAATTTGTCATCCCTAGATCTCTTTTACTCCTCAGTTGTTACACCTAAACTCCTAGGAAACTTTTTGTGGGATAAAAATGTTATTTCTTATAATGGGTGTATGACTCAGCTTTTTTTCTTTTGTGTTTTTGCTATTGCCGAGTGCTACATGCTGACTGCTATGGCATATGACAGATATGTTGCTATCTGCAGTCCACTGCTCTACAATGTCACCATGTCCCAAATGATCTGCAATTTGCTGGTGACTGGGGTCTATATCATAGCACTTTTTGCAGCAATGGCTCACACTATTTGTATGACTAGACTTTCTTTCTGTGGGGACAATGTCATCCATCATTACTTTTGTGACATAAGTCCTCTCCTAAAGCTGTCATGTTCCAGTACACACATCAATGAGCTCTTAGTGATGCTTGTAGGTGGATTCAATGTGTTAACCACAACTGTGCCCATTATTATCTCTTATGCTTTTATACTTTCCAACATTCTTCGAATCCCATCAGCTGAGGGCAGGTCTAAAGCTTTTGGTACTTGTGGTTCTCATCTCACAGCTGTTGGGGTTTTTTATGGATCCATCATATTCATGTATTTTAAACCAGCATCTAGCAGTAACATGTCCCAAGAGAAAGTGGCTTCTGTGTTTTATACTACAGTGATTCCTATGCTTAACCCTTTGATCTACAGCTTGAGGAATAAGGATGTAAAAAATGTTCTCTGGAATGTTATGGGCATGAAGTGTAGATCATCCCAGGTTCGTAGTCATAACCATTAAATGGCTGTGGTTATGGCTATAGTCTGCTTCCTTCTTTTTCCTAAAACAATTTGTCTTTTTGTTTCTTCAAATTAACAGTCCATTATCAATCATTTGACTACATATATCTCTTTTTGGAGTCTCTGCACACACTCACACACACATAGAAGCACATACATCTAATCCTGAGAAAATGACCCTTAATATGAAAATCCAGCATAATATGACAGTCTGTGATGAGACTCAGGTGTATTTATTTTTAAACATATTATCGGTTGAATGTGGATGGTTTCATATTAAAAATGACTTTGCAATTAAAGAAGGAGTCTCAGGAAATGCTTCATGGGTTCAACTTATCAAGTGTGAGAGGGACTTGCGTTATTTTTCCATTGATTATTTTCATTAATTGGGGACTTAATTAGATTAATTCCATTGATCGTTTTAGCTTCCTAAACCCCTACCCTGAATGGTGGACCACAGTGATAGTCTCAGTCTTTTGGAATAGTTATTAGCTTACATAGGGCAACTCAAAGCCTAGTTTGTTTCATATTACCCAATGTTCAGTTAATGTACAGTATATATTTGGAGGAATGAACCAGCTAATCTTCATTCCTGATGTTTTCTTTCATGTGTAGACATGTCTACTACTCTAATACTACAGTCCCTACTTCACACTCAACATTTCTTCTTCTGAGTACATGAAGCGACATAGCATTGTTGAGTTTCACTTCATTTTTATTGTTGATTTTAACATCATTTTGTCAGAAAGAAAGAACTCCCATTTGCTTTTGTCCATGGAGTCATACCTCTAAAGGTAGATGCTTACAGGGACCAACAGACTCTATATTAGAGTGGCAAGTTTACCTAAGATAGAGCTCTAATTAAGGTGCCCACTTGTCTCAAACTATGGCTTTACTAATCATAAACCTGTAATAAAGAAACAATAAAGATATACTCGTCTCCGCTTAACAAGTTTTTTTTTTCTCAACTGGTTCAGAACAAGTGTTCTTTATCTTATTTCTTGAAATAAGTGATACCTGCTGTATTAAACCAGGGCTATGAATAAGTTAACAGGATAAGTGTATCCTTAAATAAAGAAAATAATTAAAAATTTTCATCCTTTGATTGGTAGAATGATTTTGAACCACAATGCTATGATGTGTTTCTAGTTTTGTATTATTTTTAAAGTTTATAGTTTATGCATAGCTTTTAACTATGGAGATCCATGTAGGTGGCTATTGATATTAACCTCTTACATTGTAGAATTTTAATCTCAGTATATTCAATATATAACAAGCTTTCTCAGAGGTGAGTGAATAATTTTATGTAGATATACATTCATTTCTTTGAAAGTGAAGATGCTACTTCAGGATCTTAAGAAACAATATATAACTCAGCAAAGGCTAAATACCCTGAGCATTTTGAGCTAAATTAGATTCAACAAGGCATTTGACTCCATGGCCCTTATTAAGTCTCAGTTAGGGTAGGTAAAAACTATCTTAGAAATTCTCCAGACCATTCAAGGCTCATCCGAGTATTGAGACAGCTTACAATTGAACTATGCAGAGGGAACTGTTTCTCAAGCAAGATGTATTGGACTGAATTGTGCTCACCACAAAACTTATGCCCATATGGAACTTGTGAATTTGACCTTATCTGGAAATAGATGTTTTGCAGCTATAATCATACTGAATTTTGATGAGCCCAAATATGGCTGGTGCTTTAGATGAGGAAAAAAATTGAGATATGGAACACTGCTACGTAGAGAACAGCATATGTTTAGGATGGAATAGGGTGGATTTATGCTGCTACAAGGTGAAGGATAACTAAACACTAGAAGCTTGGAAGAGCCAAGGAAATATCTGACCCTAAAGCCTTCTGAGAAAACATCATTCTGCTAACAGTTAATATGCAGTATATGTTTGGAGGAATGAACCATCTAATCTTGTAGTTAATGTTCAGTATATGTTTGGAGGAATGAACCATCTAATCTTGTAGTCTCCACTAGTGTGATAGCTTAAATTTTAGTTTCTTTAAATCACATTTTAAATAATTTGTTATAAAAATGAGGAAACTACCAATTTTCCACTAACGATGGACTCACTTAATTAACACAAAAAATAATCTTACTTAAAGTGGATATCTGACCTATAATGTACATAGGAGATAAAACCATAAAGACAGTTTCTAGTCAGGGATTCCTGTTTGCGTGCACAATGAGCAATTTAGAAATTAAATTAAATATAAAAGTGTGATTCATTTGCAAAAAATGGTATAATACATACAGTATTTCCATAAAAATGTAGTATTACAATAGATAGTCCTTTCATATAAAGATATAAAGGCTTCATTTAAAAGTAGAGAGATCTGAACATGTTCTCAGGAGGGACCAAGCCCTGGAAAAGGCCATCAGGTTTGGTAAAATAGGGGTTCATCAAAAAAAGAGAAAGACCTTCAAAGATGGATTGATGAGTATCTGCACCAATAGGCATAACTAATGATGATTATGAGGATGCAGTAATATCAGGTGGTGTTTCAGTAAGTTTTATGAATGGTTACTATGAGTTGGAACCTACTGGACAACCTTAACAAAAATTTGTTGCTTTCACTTGATTCTAAATCATATTTTCAAGAAATATTCCACCTCAGGACTAGTATGATCTAAATTGTGTTATTCTTTTATCATGTTTTCAATGGCCTTAAGCACCAGAGAGGTTAACCTTAGACTCTTGTGGTTTGTCTACTGGCTCAAGATGACATTTCCTCAAAGTGGATAAAATGGTCTCTGGATTTGTTAAATACTTAAGTTCTGAATAGGAATTTAGATTTCTGCCAACTTAATCTTAAATTGGGAAGTATTAATAGAGGGAGACTTCCGGGAAGATGGCAACTGAGTAACACATACCAGAGGGAACCCACAGAAACCAGCACAAGAGAGTTACTAAGAGGGAAATTTCACACTGCGGGTTGCAGGAGGAACATCATAAAGATAAATAGGGACAGATCCAGTAGGTTTTGAGGGGCTGGGGGCTTTTTGCTTACCACAGTGGAGGCCAGCTAGGGTTTGACCTTAGCCTTGCCACTGTCTCAGCCAGAGCTGGGATCATTTGAAGCTGGCACATGGGCTTTATCTTAACAGAGCCACATACTGCTGCTGCATCGGGACAGGAATTAAACCCCTCCAGTCCACAGATAGGAATCACAGCTCAGCTACATTACTATTGTTTCCCTCACTTCTTTCTATCCACCCCCAGTCTCAGTGGACTTAGTCTTTTTCTCTTCCCTTTTCTCTCACACACCACTACTGACCTCCAGACCCCTCGCTTTACTAGGGCATTCACACCTGCCCTCCACCTAGCTGGGAGTGCTCCATCCTCTCCAGCATAACCCAAGGCAGGGAAAAGTCTGCCCACCCTCCACCACGGGTTATCCTGCCCAACTTCTTCCCAGGGAAATTCTGCCCACCTGCCCTTGCAGAGCTTAATACTTGGCTGGGAAAATCCTGTGATCTTTCTTGCCTGGCTGGGGGAGCTCCTATCTCTCCTCTGTGGTCCCATGTGACTAAGGGAACTTCTTCCCACCTGCTGTAGCACCTCACATAGCTTAAGGCAACTTGGCCAACACTCACCAACATTCCATGCTGTTGTGGGAACCTCTGCCCAACCTCTGCAGTGATCTACCTGACCAGGGCAATTCTTCCCACCATCTGTGGTACTCTACACCAAAGCAGGGAACCCCACCTACCCTCCACAGCACTCTAGCTGCAGCAGGCACTCCCACATGCCTTCTGATGTGCTCCAAGATTCCATGGGCCACACTGCCATGACTTATTGTGAGATCACCAAGTGCAGCACCATCCTCGTGGGTCCACAACAACTCAACTAGCATCCCCTGAGAGGACCATCCAACTTGCCCTCCAAATAATAGAATTCTGGTTGACTAGGGAAAGAGTGAGCCACAGGAAGATAAAGTGGTGGGCCAATTCCATAGTGTAATTAGCTGCAGGCAGTTCAAAGAAGCATTCCTATGAGTCTCCCAGAGAAAGCCAGTGCTCTTTGACTCCCTGAAAAATGGCACCTGGCTCCTCTAAAACAACACAACATCAATCAGGCCCAAAGACCTCAATGAAAAAAACCAGGATAAACAAAAGGCAATGGCAGAAGATATCCTGAACCTAATGACGTGCATGGAAGAAGCAGACATTGATCTACCACAGAAAGAAATTTTCAGAATTATGCTTGGAGTCATACAGGATGTGAGGGAAACAATACAGAAAAAGGATGAAATGATAGAGGAGATAAAGTCCATACACCAAAGGGAAATACAAGGGCTTAGGTATGAGATAACAAAAACCAGTAGTAGACTCACGGACTTTGCCAATCAACTGGAGGAGGCATAGAACCACACCAGTGACCAAGTAGACTTTAACAAACATGAACAAAAATCTAATAATATCATCAGAGAAGCTGAAGAAAACATAAGGACTATATCTGATGCTGTGAAAAGGAACAACATCAGAATAATTGACTACCAGAGGAAGACAAAACAAAGAAGTCATCTGCAACAATAGTGAGAGAATTCTTGGAGGAAAACTTTCCCAGCTTAATGAATAAAAACCAGGAAACGATTCAGGAGGCTGAAAAAACACCAACTAGACTGAATCCCAAAAAGTCACCAAGGCACATCTTAAAGTTAAACTATCCAACTTTGAGGAAAAGAAGATCATGACAGCAGCTAGGGAAAAGCAAGTATTTGCATATAAAGGTTCCCAATTGAGAAGATGCTCAAACCTCTCAGTGGACACTATGAAGAAGAGGAGAGAGTGGAGTAACATATTCCAAAAATTGATGGACAATAACGCAAACCCAAGAATACTCTACCCAGCAAAATTATCTATCAAGATATATGGAGAAGTAAGCATCTTCCCAGAAAAGGAAAAACTCAAAGAATACATTAGAAGAAACCCAGCCCTACAAAAGATCCTTGCCGACCCAGTATGGACAGAAGAACAGCACTCACCA